CACACACACACACACACACCCCTTTTATGGGCAGGATGCAGGCTTTCATAATGAATAGTTTCCCTTACATTCATAAATTGATGGTAGAAAGAAGATCAACATTTCTTCAGAATAAGCAAGGTGCTATTGTTTAAACAAAGAAGGCATATACACTACAGAAATCTATCTTGCAGATAACTTGTGTTCTCCTTTTGAAATACCAGTCTTTTCTCTGTCAGTCTACTGTGACTTCAGGGGTATCATCTGATTTCAAACCAATATATTTCTGATTTCCTCTTCCAATTAGTCTGATAGCTCACTCCAAGAATGGTAAAGTAGAATAATCAATCTATATTTTGTAGGCAAACTGGCCTTGCAGAGTTTGTCTAAGAAACATGGAAGAATGAAAGTCTAATTTGATGCTGAAAGTAGTAAAATAATAGGGTACTCTGGGAAGGGTTTATAGGACTTGGGCATAATGAAAAGAACATTCTAGGTGTGAAATCAAGACTGGATGTACCAGTGATTTGTTAAATCATCTCAGGTAATTCCTTTATCCTTACTGGATCTCTCAGAACATGAAGAATGCAGTTGCACTGGTCAGGAAAAAGTGGGACAGCTCTTGGGGCTGTCAGACATGTATAATATAATATATCACTTTTTCCCTATAAAAAAATCCTTGAGAAAGCCCTAGGATTCATCTCAGTAGGACAGTGACTATTTTCTGGGATAACCAAGGAAATGTTTTTATGCCTTGTAAAACCACAGACTTGTGTCTGGTACCAGGCCAGGCTTGGGCAGCATAGAACTGGGCTTGGCCTCAGATCTTATCCAGACACTTTCCAGAGGACCAGAATATTCTTGGTAGTAACTATGCTCCTCCTCCTTGGGATGTTGACAACAGAGGCAACTGCTTAGGAATGGAGTGGATAAAAGAACTGAAAGGGCTTAGGTGGGATGAAAAGAAGCTCTTCAGGACCTCCTGGGCCCAGACAATAGAGCAGGGACAAGGATGGAGCCCACACTTTAGCCTTGTGGCCATTTCCTTCATGTGTAGTAAAATAAGGAAGCTAAACAGCAAACTCTCCACCACTTTCCAAACAAGTGACTGAGATCTGAGAAGTCATACTGTTGTGGCCTTGATATCAGGGATCATTATCAGTGCTGAACATGCAACAAAGTGATGAGCCCCAGGATTCATGCTAGACAATGGGTACAGAATTTGGGTCCTGGGTGTAGATTCTGTCCCCTGCCTGCCTACCCCATAATCTGTCCTCTGAAAGGAGATTAAGAAACAATAGGGCTCAGAAATTATGAGCTTGAGGACCACCAGTTCATAGGAAGAAAAGAAGGAGAGAAGAGTGTGAATTTGTCAAAGAATTTTCAGAGCTAGCATAGAGCTCAAATATAGCATGTGTCTTAAGGCTCTTTCTTCCTCCTCTAAGCTTCCTAAGAATGAAAATATGTCCTTATTTTTGAGTGTTAGCCCAGATTGGGACTGGCTGCTGAGAGAAGGAAAGGAAAGACTAAGAAAGAAACACACTCCAGGTTATAGAGGTCCTAGAGCCCCTGTTCACAAAAAGAAGAGAACAACCAATCAGGATCATAGAACTAATCTTTCCCAGGAGCACCTGACCCATTTCTGGGCATTGTGTGGCGCACACCATAGGGAGAAGTGACAGGACCTAGAAGAAAGACAAGGCAATGAGAGGCATGATGGGTCTAAATATGGGTATGTTTCTCCTTCAATAGGTTCTGTTGGAGCACAAGACCCTCTGATTAGTCGTGTCTGGGCCAAATCACAAGATATGGAAGAATCAGTTTCAGGTCCAGGTCTAGGAGCTGAGGGAGGTCGAGTTTCAGACAGAGAAGATTCCTTGGGGGAACATATTTCAGTTAGGCATGAAGAATTTGAGAAAGGACACATTCGGCACAACACAGAAGAACCTGAGGGAGAGCATGTTTCAGTCAGACGTGAACATCTTGAGAAAAGTCACCTTCGGCACAATGCAGAAGAACCTGAGAGAGAACGCCTTTCAGTCAGACACGAACATCTTGAGAAAAGTCATGTTCGGCACAGTGGAGAGGAACCCATGGGAGAGCGCGTTTCACTTAGACATGAAGAAATGGAGAAAGGGCACATTCGGTACAAAACAGACGACCCTGTGGGGGAACGGGTTTCAGTTAGACATGAACATATAGAGAAAACTCACAAGCGGTTCAACGACAATTCCATGGAAGAGTCAGACTCAGCTGAAAGCTATGATAATCGTATGAAAGGACACATTCGTTTCAAACGGCAAGACCCCATGGCTGCACTTGTTTCCATTGATAGTCAAGATGCTATGAAAGATAGCCTTTGGGTCAAAACACAGGGTGTCTCAGAAGAACGATTTTCAATTAAGGGTCAAGAGTCTTTGAAAAGCCAACTGCAGATGAAAGGACAAAGTTCAATGGGAGAACGATTTTCAACAGGTCAAGATTCTTTGACAAGTCGCTTACAGATGAAAGGGCAAAGTTCAATGGGAGAACGATTTTCAGTCACAGGTCAAGATTCCTTGAAAGGTCGCCTGCAGCTTCAAGGACAAGATACCATGGCAGAAAGATTTTCAGTTTCAAGTCAAGATTCTGTGAAAGGTCGCCTGAAGCTTAAGGGACAAGATACCCTGGCAGAACGATTTTCAGTTTCAGGTCAAGATTCTGTGAAAGGTCGCCTGCAGATTAAGGGACAAGACACCCTGGCGGAACGATTTTCAGTTTCAGGTCAAGATTCAGTGAAAGGTCATCTGCAGCTCAAAGGACAAGATACCCTGGCAGAACGATTCTCAGTTACAAGTCAAGGTTCAGTGAAGGGTCACCTGCAGCTCAAAGGACAAGATCTCATGGAAGAACGATTTTCAGCTGCAGGTCAAAGTTCTGTGAAGGGCTTTGGTCGGGTCAAAGGACAAGAGAGCTTTCAATCAGGATTCGCAGTTAAAGGTCAAGGATCTGTGAAAAGTCTCACTGGGGATATTTGAACCCCAAATGAGGTAAGCAATACCTAAAAGCAGAGGCCCCTGCTCACACAAAAGTGGATTGAGTGGTAGAGAGCTATCATACTGTGGTCAGAGGGGGTAAATGGGGAGGTTCTGGATAGATTTAGAGAATGGAGAGTATGGTCATAACCAAAAGTATGGAGAGGGCATCCCTACCTCCTCAATAGGTCTGAGTGCTTTAACCTGCTTAGTTAATGTCTCTAATTCTCTTCTCTCTTACCAGGTTGTTCTTATCCTGACTGCACCCTGGGCCAGAGCCTTCAGGTTCTCCTCTGGTTCACCTGCTGGTATCACTACCTTCTCTCACAGTGCCCCTCCTTCCACCCATTCTGGATGCCAAACCTGGGGCTGCCTTTTGTCTTCTACTTTTCAATAAAAAGACTCCTTCTGCTCCATTTGTTTGTGGTTCATATGATTTCTGGGTTCCTAAAAGCTCCAGGGAGATGGATATGAATGTGGGTCATGATCTCCCAAGTGGAAAGGAAAAAGGAGGACCCAGGAGATGAATTGTTATGGTGTAAAGGAAAGCAAGACTAGGAAGAAGAACCTCATTCTAAGGGTTTAGTGTTAAAACCAAAAATTCAGCCTAACTGATGGAGTCTCTATTTGTTTTTTTGCTTTGTTTTGGTTTGGTTTGGTTTTTTTGCAGGACTGGGGATTGAACTCAGGCCCCTGCGCTTGCCAGGGAAGTGCTTATTCCACTGAGCCATCTCCCCAGCTCCTGGAGTCTCTATTTGAACAAGAAATCCACATCTGCAAACCACACCTTTGGCCTAGGACTAGGCAGAATACACATAGAGAGATAAAACCCAAAATGTGATGAATAAATTATAGGCACATCATTTTCTTTCCAATGCATTGTCTTTCCTGACTTGGCTACTGTTAGCCCTGCAGAGTGACCAGGAAACCTTCTTCCTTCTCTTTGATATCCTCATGGAGCTCTATCTCTTCTAGAAAACAGACAAGGAATGATGTCAGAGGTGCAAGATCTTCCATGCTCATAAAAATTTCATAGGTTTGGGGTTAAGATTCCTCCACATCATTGTTTTAGGTTACACAATGTCCTTCCATAGACTTCTGTTTTAAGATGTGGATAAGAAATCATGACATACTATATTCTTACTGTGTATTGTGTTTTCCTGAGGCATACTGCAATTTGGGAAGTAGGCAGAATCAAGTAATACAGATAAGTATAGGAATGTATTGGGTAAACTTGAAAAGTTGCATAGCTCTGCATTTGACCCATCCACACCACTGTATTTATAACAGGGAGCACCCAGGGAAGGGCAAAGTCAAGGTGGGAAGAGCAGTTTGGCTAGAGTAGAAGAATCATGAGCCCAGGAGTCTGGCAATCTGGCAATGATCACCAGCTTTGCTTTCCCACTGCCTAGCTGGCCCCTGACAAATATCTGTTCTTCTGAGTGATAGTAAATTATAGTTTATAAAATATAGTTGACATTCAGAGAAAACATTTCCTGTTTATTTATTTTTTTATTTTTCATTACCCTGTAGCAATTGAGTAATGGGGTTTCTTTGTTATATTTCACTCTATATTTGCTGTTTAATATATCAATAACCATTCCAAAAAAGTTAACAAGAGGCAAGAGGAGCTTGGAAAGAAATCCTTACAACTATTTAGAGATATTTTTTAAATTTTATTTTTTGGAGATGGTCTTGCTATGCAATCCCGGCTGCCCTTGAACTCACTATGAAACCTATGCCAATCCTCATGCCTCAGCCTCTCAATGCCAGGATTATAGGTATATAATTGCCATGCCTGGCCCCAGAGATATATTTTTAAAGGGCTCCAAAAATACATAAGGTGTACATTAGTGAAAACACTCAACAGGGTGAGGAAGTCAATATTAACTTCTTCAATTTACTATTTAAGTGTATCACAAAGTGTACCAAAAACAAACCCCCTTTTGTTTTGTTTTGGATTTGTTTTTGAAAATAAAAATGAGATTTTTGTAGCCATCAGTTACAGTAAAGATTTTGAGATAAAATGTCATTCTGTGACAGTAAATGAAGCAGCATGCACAAAGATATATCAGTATGACCTCATTTACTAAAAAAAATCAAATATCTAAAATAGTAGCAAGAAAACTGACAATCTTAGTATTTTGGATTGTAGAATTATGGAACTTTTCTTCATATGTTCTGTAGTTTCTAAAATTTTTAAAAACAGATGCAAAATAGTAAAAATGTTAGAAATGATACATAATTTTACTAAACAAGATTATAGGAATTCAACAATGGTTGTTGTATTGAATATTGGTGTCTTCAAATTAGTTGCTCAAATTACCAGATATAAACATTCAAAATTGGTCAAACAATTAAAAAGAAGAAAAATATAAAATAAAAAATTTAAGCATTAACTGTTCCATTCAATATATTGGTAGAAATCAGTAGTACAATTAACCAAGCAATCCTGTGTATACCCATACATTTTTTTCCTTTGACCCATTGATTGGGTTGGGTTTTTGTTGTTGTTGTTCTTGTTATGGTGGTGGTGGTAGTGCTGGTGGTGCTGGGGATTGAACCCAGGGCCTTGTACATGTGGGGAAAGATCTCTGCCACTGAGCCATATCCTCATCCTAACCCACTGATTGCTTAAAAACAAATTAATTCTACCTATTTGTGAATTTTCCACCTTTTCCTTTGTTATTTCAATCTACTTTGTACTACATTGTGGTTTTAAAGGACCAGTATTGGTAATATTTCAAACTTATTTTGTGGTCTGAGATATGATGTATACTTCAGAACGTTCCATGTAGACTTCAGAAAAATGCTCATTCTGCGATTTTGAGTGTAGGACTCTCTCTGTTTGTCTTCTAGGCCTGCTTCATAGTCCCATTCAAGTTTTATCTTTATGTACTGATGTTACTCCAGTTGTTCTGCACATCACAAAAACAAAGTTAGAATCTTTTACCTATTCTTTGAAACTATTTCTCCCTTTAGTTCAGAAGTTTGCTTCATGACTTTTGGGTCTCTACTTGTAAGTGCATGCTGGTTCATGTTTCTAATCATTATTTCTTCTTGATGAACTAATCCTTTAACCTATATACAACTTCATGCCAAATTTTGAGCTAGTCTTTTTTTTGGTCTGATACTAATGTAGCCACTTCAGTGTTTTTGCTATTAATACCATGGAATAAACAGACCTTTTCATCCTTTCACTTTCATCTTATTTGCATCTAAGACTATAAAATGAGTTGCTAAGACTATAAAATGACACTATAGATGTGTCATTTTTTATCCTTCTTGCTAATGTCTGCTTATTTTTTACTGTGAAAACTATTTGTTGACATTTTAAGAATCTCTGACAAGAAATCACTCCTGCTATTTTTCTATTTACTCTCTATGTGTCTCTTTACTCACTTTTCCTATTGCTTGTTCTTTTTTTTGTTTGTTTGTTTTTGCGGAACCGGGGATTGAACTCAGGCCCTTGCGCTTGCCAGTGAAGCACTTATTCCGCTGAGCCATCTCCCTGGCCCCCTTGAATTTAATTTTATTTACTTAATAAATCTTCATATTTATGCATTCTGTGTAGCATTTCAACATGTACACATACCATACATTAATCAAATTCAGCTTCCCTTTTTGCTGTCCCCATTCCATTTCTACACCATTTCCAGCCTCTAGTAATCATTAATGTATATTCAGTTCATTATTGTTTAGCTTTCATCTATGAAACAGAACATGGCATATTGTTCTCTGTCTGTTTTTTTTCTTTCTTTTAACATAATGTCTTTCCATTCCATTCATTTTGCTGCAAGTGGAAAGATTTCATTCTTATTTATGACTCAATAATGGTCCGTCACATATATCTATATCTATATATCTATATCTTAAATATATATATATCTTAATAGATAGATAGATAGATAGATAGATAGATAGATAGATAGATTTCAATTCACTCTTCTCTTGATGGATACCTGGTTGACTCCATATCTCAGCTCTTGTTAATGGTGCCATAGTAAACATGAGCATGCCAATAATTCTTTAGTATGCGAATTTCATTGCTTCTGGATAATTTCACTACCATTGCCTAATTTCATTATTGTTACCTCAGCAGTGGTACTCTTCTATCAGGCATTTGTAGATTTTTGAAGGACCTACATAATGTTTCCTATAGTAATCACATTTAGACTAACAGTATATGACTTCCTTTTATCCACATTCTCTTCAGCATTGTAAAATTTTTGTTCTTCAGCAATAGTTATTTTAACTGGTGTGATCCTATCTCATTATATTGTATGATTTGCAGCTCTTTGATAGGCAATAATATTACACCTATATGTCACAGGTTTTTTTGGCCATCAGTATTTGTTTTCAGAAGTACTTATTCAGATCATTGGAACATTTTTAGAATGGATTTTTTTTTTTTTTACTTTTTAAAAGAATACAGAATGGTAATAGAAAAAAGAAACAACAGCATTTGAAATGATGCAAAATTTCACTAAACGAAGTAGTTGGAATTCAACAATAGTTGCTATAAGTATAATGTTATCTTCAAATTAGTTGTTTAGGTTACCAGATATAAGCATGCAAGATTGATTTAAAGAAAACCAAAATAAAAATGTTAACAAAAAAGCCCTTTGCAGCCAGAGCCCAGGCCCAGTGTGTGTGTAGTACCTTCTGCCTGCTCACTGGATCTCTTTCCAGCAAGCACCCAGGCCCAATGTGTGTGTGGGACCAAATGTACACTTGTGGGAACCTCCTTCAATAGACAGACCTGGTGTGGAACCCTGAGGCAGAACTCCCTAAGGAGAAGCTAGGGGCCAGACTCACCCAGCTAATCCAAGAGCTGAACATCTTGCCAGAGGGGCACAGCAGGTTCACTTCCTCAAGCTGCAGCAGGAAGAAGCTGAGCACAGCAGCCAGACCCAAGCTAAGCACATCTGGATAAGTTCCATCTTGGTAGATCTAGACCCATTAAGCTGAGACACTTTGCTAGACCCAGATCTATGAGAGAAACCTCTTTCTCTCTTGATTGAGAGAGGAGGCAACAGGTAACCGGGATGAACTAATCTGCTTAGAAAACCCCACATATATCAAGGAGAGGTGATCAGACAGAACTTCGGGGAACTAATTTAAATGCAAATTCCCAACTTAATATCTGCTTAGCTACACAGACATAATGTTTGCTCTTATGATCTAAAATACAAACTCATTAATTATAAAAGTTTGTCAACTGCTAAATATAGCTACTCATTATTAGTGTTCCTAA